TTGTAATTACTGCTCTGTTTCCCATTTTAAGTTTCTCCTTTTAAGCTTTGATTGTATGTCAACACCAAGTACGATGTTTCTCTTCCACAGCTTCAAGTCCGTCATAGTTAGAAATGTACCACTCAATATCGTTAGGAATTTCAACTACTTTAAGTTCTGCAAAGCTACCATTTGCTAAATCACCTAATGCCTCAACGCATTCAACAAGTTTAGGGTCTGTTCTCAGGCTGTAAGGTCCACACCCCCAATACTTCTCTTCCTCGTACTTACTAAGGTAGCCGTATCCATCCCACTCAAGACCCATAAACTCGTAAGCCTCTTCTGAAACGCTGAAACCTCCGAAACATCTATTAATCTCTGCTTGTAAGTTTACTAAACTCTTTAACAGACTATCTATTGAGCCAATTTCGCACTTATCAAAAAGGTTCAATATATTCTTCGTTGTAGGGCAACTCAAATATTTGTTATCTACTCCTAACAAATGCTTATAACAATTCAATACAAAGTCCGTAAACTGTCTGATAAACTGTTTCAAATCAAATCCTGATGTATATACATCGTTTATTATCTTCAACATATCAGCGTTATTATTTGCAGAATAACAAGATAATAAATTCATCATATACTCATAATCAGCTATTCCTAAAGCATCTGTAATCTCATCAATAGCTAATGTATTAGTGTAGGCTAAACACTTATCGAGCATTGTTAAAGCATCTCGCATACCGCCATTTGCAAGTTTTGCAAGATACTCAATAGCCTCAGCACTCGCTTGAATTTGATAACCGTTATCATTTTCAAGCTTAATTACTTCATTTAGCCTATCGACTATACCTTGCTGACTTATACGCTGAAAATCAAATCTTTGTACCCTTGAAAGGATTGTCTTTGGTATCTTCTGAGGTTCAGTAGTACACAAAATAAAAATTGATTTAATCGGCGGTTCTTCAAGAATTTTCAACATAGCTTGCCAAGCACTTGAAGATAATGAGTGGCACTCGTCTATGATAAATACCTTGTACTCACTGTCAAGACTGGTTGTTTTTGCTTGCTGAATAATCTCTCGAATATCATCTACTGAATTATTTGATGCGGCATCTAACTCTACAGGAGTGCCTTTATTATCATTTATCTCATTCGCAAAAATACGAGCACAAGTTGTTTTTCCCGTACCCGCACTTCCTACAAACAAATAGGCGTTCTTAATTTCTTTGCTTTGCAACTGTTGTTCTAAAATTGCTTTGGTAGCCGATTGCTCGACTACCTCAGCAAATTTAGCAGGTCTGTACTTTATGGCTAAACTTTGCATTATTAAAAGCCCTCTGTATTAGGAAAATTAAATCCAGTGCTTGCTGGTTTAGAATATTCAACAATCTCTACTGACTCAGGCTGTTTCATATAGGTAAGTAAACACTCAGCCACAGTCTCTAAATTCTTATTTGTTCTATGCAATCTAATAGCATAGACAATATCAAATGCAATCAAATGACATACAACAAAACTCAAACCAATTACAGCGTACAACATTAAACAGTTTCCTCCTTCTTAATATCACTTCCAAGAAAATACTTTGCGTATCTGCAAGTGTCACCGAATCGTGTCTTTCCTTCAACACTCACGGCGTGAATTAAGTGTCCCATAGCTCGCAAGTCATAAATGATTGCTGACAAACGAGTTACTCCGTAAAGCTCAAATGCCTCCTTACTTGTAATTGATTTGCCTGATTTCAAATGCGATAAAATAGCATTTCTCTGTCCTCTCATTAGTAGTACCTCTCTTTCTGTATTCGTAGTTTTTCTACATTCACAATTATACTACAAGTAAACATTATAGTCAATGATTAATTGTTAATAAACTGTGAATTATAGTTCGTTCATTCTCTTTAACTGTCTATCAATCTTATAATTCATTTCTGCGTCAATATCTGCATCAGTTATTCCATAGAACTCTTTAAATTGAGATAGCATAACCAGCACATCTGATAATTCTTCTGCAATATGCTTTTTGTCACCTGAAAGCACGGCTTCTGTAAACTCAAAAAACTCCGTTTGCAGGTACTTTAATTGATGATAGGGTCCGTAGTGCTGAATTATTTTCTTTAACTTTTCTTCTTTAGTCATATTATTATCCACAGAACTTCTCCTCACGCAATCCTAGAATCCAATCTGCTGAAATGCCTGTATCAACGCATATCAATTTAAGTTGAGCAACCTTCAACTGTGTGCGTCCTGTCATATAATTTGCAACAGTTTCCTCGCTAACATCAAATAAATTAGCCCAATACCTTAAAGGACGCATAAATAAAACACCTGTAAGCCTTCTTGCAGTGTTATCATCACAACACATTGTCTTATTTCCCATTGTTAATATCTCCTGTAATAAGTTCTGCGTAGGGTAAAGTTTCAACCCACTTGCAGAACAATCTCCATTCATCTAACTTATGGTTCTTCCTGCTATGATACATATTAGACAAGACTTCGTAGTTGAGCATTACTGTGCTTCTCTGATTGTAGGAAGAAGGCAACATCTGTATCAACTGCCACCAACTGTCTTTGCTTTTTGTTTGAAGAAACGAATTGCGAAAATTATTTAATCCATAAATTATATGTTCTTGCAATAATTGTTCTGATTCCCAACACAAATGTTCCGTACTAAAATCTTCAAGGACAAATTCCTTTGCTTGAATCTTGTGCATTGTGGAACAGGAATTGCGAACTGTTCCTACCTTGTAGGTGTCAAATTCTTTCCACCAATACATAGGAGCTACAATGTCTGTGTAAACGACAATCATTCGCATAAACTTCCTATGGTCAGTTCCTGCGTTCACAAGCCTTTTCATCAGGTTGAGGTCGATTTTCTTAATAATAGGGGCAACGCCACCACACATTTGAGCAAGTTCGAAATCGTTGTCGTCATAATTACAAAACTGCGAACTAACAAAAACTGAATCCGACATAGACCAACTATTCATTGGGTTACGCATACCTCTGATAGCGTGTTCCCAACCGACAACTTCTGTATTCTCAATCTTAATCATCTTCTTCCCTCGCTTTCATTTTTAATCCACATTCACGACAGTATTTATCTTGAATATCTCCTGCGGAGCCGCACTTATTGCACACAAAATAGTTAGTTGTTCCGCTGGATTTAACTATCCACTCGCCTTGTGGTCTTTCAATAGGAATAATGACTCCATTAACCATTCTTCCTATCGACAATTCAACTGTCGGGGCTTCATCAATTAAATCTTCAACAACGGTTGTTGGTATATCATCACAACCCCACCACCTATTAAATGCCTTTTTCAACGCACTACGGCTGATTAAATCGTTGTTCATTCTGCACCGCCTTTCATTTCTGCTCCGCAATTAGGGCAAAAGTTAAAGTAATCTGTAATAGGCATTTGAATATGACAATTTGAACATTCACAAGCAATATCTGTTATATAAGGATGTAACCACTCTCCTTGTGGTCTAGAAAAGTTAGTTTTACCATCACGGATTGCTTGCTTGTAACCCTCTTTGAAGTCAGGTAAAGGCACTGTCGGGGCATTGGCTATTTGACTTTGACTGATAGCAAGCCTACCCGTTTTGTCCAAACAATCGGGATTTAGTTTATCTGCAACAATAAGCCTCATTCTTCAAGTATCTCCTTTACTGTCTTATCCTTTGTAATCTTACCTATCAATCTTAAAGTTGCGTTATTCTCTGCGACCTGATTAGTCAATGATTTCTTTTCGCTAATTACACGCTTTGACAATGCAAGAAACACCTCGTCTGCACAATCATTCCTGTATATCTCAGCCAAAATCTGTTCTACTGTCATTCCTATGCCTCGCTTTCGTAACTTTCTTTATCTTGCCACACCTATCACAGACATATAGCCCATACAAATCATCATCAGACCATTCTTCTTTTTGATACATTTGTTTACCGCAACAACTTGTCTTATTTAAACCTTTTCTTTTTAATTTTCTTGCAAAACTCATTCATTCTTCACCTTTCATGGTATCCAATTTTCGCAACTGTAACTTTCGTTATTGCCCTCTATTGGTGTTCCTTTGATTTTCTTTTAAGGCTTATAAGTTCTTCTTTATTCATTGTTAAGTCCTTGTTTTGGAGTTCTTATGTGTATTAGCAAATCTTAATCTAAATGCTTCTTGGAAGTTCTTATCTTCGGATGAGATTACATCTTCAAAAGTACAGAACTTTCTACCACATACCTTGCACTTTCTTCTTCTATACACAAGACCTTGATATTTCGCAGTTTCATAGACGTGTGTTGGTCCCTCACAATCAATACAAGTCATACTGCACCTCACTGCCTTAAATCACTTAATCTTTTTATTTCTTTTGACGCATTTTCTATGCCTTCTAAATTCCAATCATCTGGAAATGAATGACACAAATGCTCAAAACTACACATAGAGCAAGGGTCATAAGGGCAATCCATAGTATTTCTATGCTTACACTGCTCTCTAATATCCATAAGCAAAAGCTCAATTTCTCTCTGCGTTATCACTTTCAACACCTCTCATAATATCTTCTCTGATAAGTTTCTTAATATAAGTAGCTTTCTTTGGAACACTATTCAGTTTTGCAATAATGTCACTATCATAAACCTTATTACAATTAAATCTGTACTGCTTAGTGTGTTCCTTTTGATACTTAGCAATATATTCTAAATTATTCGCCATCTTCTTCCTCATCACTTTCTGTATATTCAGTTACATCAGTGCTTCTACAAAAGGGACAAGCAACATAATCCATATATGCAGGTGTACCCCAAAATTCGCCAACACACTCACTTACTGTATCAGCATCTTCGCCGTCAAATACTTCACCACAGTCGTAACATTTATATCTACCGAGTAAACTCATTAGTCCTTCTCCTTAGCTTTGCTCATTATTTCATCAATATTCCAATTTCTAGCTAACAAACAACAAACTTCACTATACTTACAGTCACTACAATTAATATCGTCTCGTTTACAATACTCTTTAATTTTCTTCAATAGTTTCTTCGCTTTCATTAGTAGCTCCTTTATTTGCGTCGGTCATAGCACTCATCAATACACAGGCTTTTGTAAATGTATCGAAGTTTACCTTACTATACATCAGTCGGCTCGCTTGCTCGAAATCTCGGTTCAATAAAGCATCTACGATATTCAAAAAATCAGTATCAGCCGAATCACCACGCACATTTGCGTTATATTTAGGAATAATCGCAGTATCGTCTACTGGGTTATTGCGTCTAGGTCTACCTCTTCTACTACGCTTAACATAAGGTGGCTTTCTATACCCTGCAATCTGTTTTAATCCTTGTTCTGCATCCCAAATAGCGTGAGCTTTTACAAACTCCTGCTTTCCGATAAGCGGGTCAACGTCAAAAAGTTCGCACAATGCATTAATAATTGAGTCACTAGGCAACAAATATCCTGAAAACCAGGCTGCCACTAAACTATGACTAAAATGCACATACTCTGCCAGTTCTTTGTAAGTAATTCCCTTTTCTGCTCTAAGCTTATTCCAGAAGTTATCTTTGTAAGCTTTTGCGTGTGTCGTAGTGTGATTACCTCTTCTGCCCATATACTTTCCTCAACTTTCTGTATTCAGTATTAAACTGTAATGTGATTATATCATATAGTGTACTATATGTCAAGCATTTTGTTGATATTCGTTTGCTAAATCATTAATCATCTTTTCGTTATCATCTAAAAGGTCTTTTAGCATTAAAAATGTTTTCTCATCAAGAACATAGAAATTGTTTCCGTCTCCAAAATCAAAAACTAATGCACTATACGGCTTCTGCATAGCAAAAGCTTCTTCCTTATTCTTATCTAACCACTCTTTCTTAATTGAAAACGATGAGGACTCAGATGTCTTTGTCTTTGCTTCGAATAACCAGTTATCTGCACTTACGTCGCCTTTATTAAATGCTGTTGCTCCACTATTAGCAACTTGTTTACCATTAACCTTTTTAGCAATATGCTTTTCTTGTCTGCTACTGTAATATCTTGTAGATTTCTTATTATATGTCATTATTCATCTTTCCTCGCTCTCTGTAAGAAGTATTCTTCTATATGCCAAAAGTCTTAAAGATTTCATCTTTTGCATCTGCCAAAGTCGATTCAACAATCCTCTTTACTCTTTCATCTTCGGTCTTACCAAACCACTTATTTTTGAAGTTGCTCTTCTGTCCAAGCCAATCGCTTTCACTCCAATCGCCGCTCTTATAAGAATCGAAGGCATAAAGAAGTTGAAACATATCAAAAATAATTTCAGAAATTTCTTTATCCTCAAAAATGTTCGGCACACGATTTGCTTCTGCACCCCAACCAAAAATTTTATCTTGCAAACTCTGATTGTTATAATCCCAATATCCTCTTGACATTTTAATTACTCCTTTGCCTTGTTTAAGAAATAACGATGTATCGCCTTATGACAATCTTGGTCATCACAATATCTTTTATCTCTGTACTTGCAATTACCACAATTCATATCGGGTAAAACTTCGTTGATAACTAATAGATAAGCAGTCTTAAATAGTTTCAGTTGTTTTTTAAGTTCAATTTCTCTTTCACTTTTCATTGTTACTCTCCTTATCCTTTTTAACTGTTTCAAGAATTTTGTTCCTAATATTCCTTGCATTTTTTCTATCTATTGGGTGTCGTTCTTCATCTTCAATTAAATAATTAAGAGAACATAAAATAACCAAACAGTCTATATCAGTAAATTTAAATTTGTGTTTCATAATTCTTCTCCTTTACTTAGGTTTGCCGAACGGAAAACTTACAACATAAATTTCTTGATGATTACTACCGTACTTACTCATCTTCTTCATATCGTGAATAAATATATCCACGTGTTTGCCTTTAACAGCACCTCCTGTATCTTCTGCAATATACAGTTTGCCATCAATCTCGAATATTGTTCCAAACTTGTGAAGTTTTCGGTCAATCGCACAAGTAGTAATTGTTCCTTCGTGAACTTTCTTGCCACTAGCAGTTAGTTTACTGCCTGTCTCAAGGTCGCTATATGCTGTGATGTAGTATCTGCCAATACTCTGCTTTGCGTACATAATACAAGTTTCTTCCTCTTGCGTTTCTGCTTCAAAGCTCATAGTGATATTGCTATCATACTCAGGCAATACTACACTTTCGGTTCTTTTCTTTTCATTTCTATCAATCAACAAAGTGCTGAATAATACGAAAAGGATTGAAAGACTTGATAGAATAATGATTTTATCAATGCTTGATTTCATCTACGAACTCCTCTTCAATGATTGCAGACTTGATTATCCAGCCCTCCCACACCATACTCTGTAACTTCTTACGATAATCAGCTACAGCGGCGTACAGTTCTTCGTTGCTATAGAAAGGATTAACATAACTATGACCGCCACATTCAGGTCCCATACCGAAATACTGTGATACTGGGTTAGTTATAGCTCTACCACACTTTAAGCAATACTGCGTTTTCTCTGCTGTAATGTCCCCGTGTAATTTCATATAGACCATACCACGAGTTTCTTTCTCGACAGTGCCAATCATTGTTCTCAAAGGCATAGGATTATCATTATTCCAGTCTTTCATAAATGTAAAATCAGAAGATGCTTTGCGAGTCATATACTGTTTAACTGTAATCTTCTTTGTTATGCTCTGTGACTGCGAGATTTGAGTTCTATTAGCGTTATTGCGAGTAGCTAACAACTTTATCGTAATTGTGTCGTTAGCACTAGAGAAACGATTTAACGCAGTTTTAACGCTATCGTACTTCTCTCCGTTTATTACTATTGCTCCTTTATAATCTTTTAACAATGTTAGCATCTGTTGTACCTCAAATAATCTGTTTAATCGTCTGTTCGTGTAATTTCAATTAGATGTAATATCCTTAATGCGTCATCACCTGAAATGATTTCTCTCGTAGTAAGTGATAACAAAAAGCCGTGAATTACACCTCTGTTATATCTATTGTTACCTCTTTGAGCAAGCTCAACCAAAGTCTTTGCAAGCAACTCACCGTCTGTAGCGTCATTATTGATGATTTTGTCTAAAATTTCTTCAGGAATTAATATCTTCATATTGCCTCTCTTTCTAGTTATTATGCTTTACGACTGAAAACATTATACTACACATTTAACATTGTGTCAACTATGAATTTTTAAATAAAAATAGGCACTATATTTCAAGTGCCTATATAAGTGTTTGATAAACTTGTATTATCTAATCAATGCGATAATCTGCATCATATCTCCGTCAACGAGCTTAATGCAAACATCACTTCCGTAGTACAAATCTACAATATCCGCACTATAAGTTTTGAGTTGATTACGCAGTCTATTTATATTGATTTTTACCGAACAATCAACAGCGTTCTTACTTTCGGTGTAATAAACTCGTTCAACGCCTGTACTTGCAAGAGATGAAACTTCAACACACTCATCGGTAAAGTTAAGCTCAATAGCACCGTCATCAAACTTACTAACAAAAAGTGAAAGTCTGTCCAACAAATCAAGAATTTCTGATTTACTAATTCTGCAAAATGATGATACTTCAAGGTCAGCAAATCGTTTAATGCTATCAACTTTAAAATCAGAAATGCCGTCTGGCACATTCGTGCAAACAGATACTTCAATTCCGTTGTCAAGTTGAGTGTGTGAAACTAATTTATTGTTATCTGCCTTTTCAATAGTAACATCTGAATTAGTCATAGCAATCAACTCAACGAACTCTTTGTTGAAAAGATACGGAGTGTTCAAAATGTTATGATTGAAAATTGACATCATAGCTTTATCTGTACCTGCAACAAAATCTCCGAAATAATAAGATGAGTATACACTGCCTACTATCGTACTCAATGATGTCTTTACAGTTGAGTCAATCACTGCTAAATCTGTTGCACTGATTTTTCCTAACTCACTTGTATTAGACGGAAACTTATTTGGGAATGAGAGCTGATTTCCTTGTTCATCAAGAACAATCTCAAGGCGATACTTACCGTTACAAGATATGATGAGACTATTACCTTCAGTTGAAATCTCTAATGTATCAGTTGTTACCTTGCTAATAAGCTTTGAAAACAATTCAGCGTCAACAACAACATCAATATCATCAGAGTCACATTTATCAGATACGCACACATAGTTTGTACCGTCAGTTGTGTTAAGATACAAAACACCGTCTCTAACACGAAGTCCAATAAATGTTGACAATTCGAGCAGTTTATTAAATCCTGCTCCCTGTGTTGCGTATGCAACTAACTTTCTCAGTCGTTCCGTACTAAAACTAACCATTATTACTTATTCTCCTTATTTGTAAGCATATAGAATACTGGAGTATCTAAAAGAGCGATTCCTACTTTTATTACCCAATATACAAAAACTGTAACGATACAATTTGCAACCGGAAGTATAACGCCCTGCACTCTAAGCATTATTAACAATCCTATATAAAAGATAACACTATCGAATAACTGCGATGTTATTGTTGATGCATTATTCCAAAGCCATCTTCCTCCGCGTCTTGTACCGTGCTTCTTTATGTACTTATCTCGTATTGTATGAAATACCCATACATCCCAAGTCTGTGAAACAAAACAAGCAACTAAACTTGAAATTGTTAAAATCCAGTTACTGCCTAAGATTGCGTTAAACATTGTTGCAACTTCAAGGTTGTCTCCGGGAATCAAGTTTGCAACAACAACTAATAAGATTGAAACTACTTGTGCAATAAAGCCACAAATAACTGCAAGCTTAGACTGTTGCTTTCCCCAAACTTCACCTATCACGTCAGTAATAAGGAATGTAAGTGGGTAACAAATTATTCCTGCTGTTATAGATACTGGAATATTAAACCAAGTTCCTACATAGACTTGCTTTGTTGCGATACAGTTTGCACACACCAAAAGTGCTGAAAAAATAGCAATCAACAAGTGTAAATTAAAATTCGTCTTTCTCATTTTTAAACTCCTTCATTTAATAAGTTGGTAAGGATAAACAACTACCCTCATTTTTAATTGGTAAGGCTAAACAATTATACCTCCTTTCTAAAATAGCCTATTTGATACGAACTTGTCAGGTCCTTTATATTTATAATTATTAGACCAATCAAGTAAGACATCTATATTATACTGCAATCTTTTTTTATAATCAGAGCAAAGCTCATCAAATGAGTAACCAAATTTTTGTACCGCAGACGCAACAGATTTAATTGCGTCATCAGGTAAATTTTGAATGTTATCTGCTCGATGCGTAGAACCGTCACTTATTGTTACAGATTGCAAAGACTCAGTTAGTATACTACCGCTAATCGCAACTTGAACCCAAGTAGAAGAATCTGCACTATAAAAAGGGAACTTTTCTAATATTCTAGGCACAGTTATTCCGAAAGCGTGTACTTTAACATTTGGATTACGACTATTCTTGATTATACAAAAAACTTCGTTAAAATATTCGATTTGTGCATCAGTTGATACTCCGTGACGACCGCCTATTCCTATATAAGTGGGAAGTTTTCCGTTAATCTCAGTATTTAAAATTCGCTCTAATGCACTTTCAGGCTCTCCGAAATGATACAGAGGAAGAATTGTTTTATCAGACAGTTCAGTAGCCATTTTCACATAATTATTCCAACTCTGTTCACTACAATACTTTGCTGTCTCTTGATTAAGTACAGGATACGGAATTACATCTAGCTCTGCCCAAACATTCACAGTAGGATGTTGCTTAATATACGCAATATAATCGTCAACATCTATTTGTTTATTTGAATGTGCAACAGAAAATGCTCCGCTATCAATAAATAGATTTTTAGATAGACTATCATTAACCCACCAGTCAATTACCCTACCCTCATTTACCCAAGACAGTAATCGGTTAGCTTTCTTTTCTCTTAAATACTCATCAGCTTCTCTTGAGCCCCAACCTGCAAAGTATAAATTAAAAGCCATATTTTAACACTCCATTTCGGTAAGCATATTTTTTACTGAGTGCTTCCATTTATCTAAAGAATAATTTACAGGAACAGAATAATTCAATAAAGCGTCTAATACTTTAGTAAAACACTCTTCCTTAGAATTATAACGATTATCAACAGGTACTGTTTCTGTATAACTCAATCTATTAGGTACTATTACTATGTTGCCTAATGCCATACTTTCAAGGGTAGAATACCCAAAAGTTTCTTGGTCAGCAAAAGATACCATTACTTTTGATTTAGCTAAAACAGAAAAATATTCCTCTCTTGAATTAGTTTCAATAATAGTTTTTATAGGAATGAAATCAACAGATTTATTCTTTAACCAAGTAACTAATTCATCAAACATTTCAGGGTGTTTTTCTGCATCTAATCTATGCGGAAATACTAATATGGGCTTATTCTCTTTGTTCAAAGGGTAAGTATTTATTAAAGAGTCTGCGTAAAAAGGCAACCCTGTAACGAAGATTTTATCAGATAAACCCTCTAGTTCCACAGAGTTAGATAAAAGCAGATTTTTATGAAACTCTGTAGCAACAAAAATTTTATCGACTCCTACTAACCAGCTTGCTTCTGAATATTTTCCCCACTCTCTCATATTATTACGATAAGTGAAATCAAATTTGTCATAAGTACCTGCGTGAAGTATTCCGCTTATTTTAAATTTCAAATTAAGCATATTTCTAATATAAAACAAGCTTTCTATACCGGGAAACCACAAATCTGCAAAGAATATCCAATCATTATCAGATACTTCTCCGTTATTTATTTTCTCAATTATAGTGCTAAGTTGAGAAAATTTGTATAAATGCGTACCGCAAGCATCAAGCACTCCGCCGTTTGTAACTTTATCTGAAGTTTTAATACCTTTAATAGTTGTGTAAGAAACATTGTTATTCGCAAACTCTGTTTCAAACTGCTTTATCCAGTCAGCAGTATATCTAGTACCGTAAGGCTCAATAGGGATATAAAATATCATTTCAATCATTCTCCTTCATATAAAGTAACATCTGTTGTGTATTGTTTATCTGTTAAGTTTAAAATGTTTACATTAAACCCGGCCAAATGCTTAATATATACCGAGTTTTCAGTTCGTATTTTAATTTCAGCATTAATCGGTATATACTCAGTATGTCGAATTATAAAAGTATATAGGTTATCTAGTATCTCTTTCGGCGGTAAAAAATTTGAGCTACTCTCAATAACAACATTTTTACCATATTTTTTAAGCGTATGCAATATATAATCTAGATTAGTGTAATCTAAAATATCTACTTCACCTGCACCAAAATACACTGTTTTAATATCTCGGTTGGTCTCTAATATAGACGTAACTATAGCTAACGTATTAAGGTCAGGACTATTTGTTTCTACAAATAATGTCATATTACCTAAATTTTTATTGCACTCGACTTCAATTCCTTTCCAAATTCTCAACATATATAAACTCCTTATAAAATTACCCTGTCGCCGTACCACTCTTTAGTAATCTCTACATCGCAAGAAAACGGCATACCAAGTATCTTCTCTGCGGCATTAGACATAACTCTTGCAAGTAATTCTGAACACTCTTTTGCGTTCTCTATAGGACACTCTGCAATAATCTCATCGTGAACAGGTATTAACATTCTGAAACCTAACTTTTTAAGTTCTTCATTGTTATACAAATCAATTAATGCAAGTTTAGTTAAGTCTGCGGCACTGCCTTGTATTCTTGCGTTTACACATTGTCTTGTTGCATCAGCTATCTTCTTTCCGTTATCTACAATCCAGATTCCGTCTTTACTGTTAGCTTCCTCAAATATCTTACGCTTTTGACCAAAACGAGCTTGATGTAACTTTCTCCAATACTTATCACAAAGTTCATCAGGTACCTCTGTGTTAATCTCACCGTTAAAATCAAGTACATCGTCAGATTTCGGAGTGTCAACCCACTTAAACTCGTACTCATCTAACTGCAAGTCAGGCAATCTTCTCTTTCTACCGCAGATAGTTGTTACAAAGCCTAAGTTTTCTCCCATCTCTAATGATTTCTGCTCGAATATCATTATCTCAGGAAAACGCTTGAACAGATTTCGTTTAAGTTGCTTAGCTTCATCAATAGAGATTTTCATTCCTTCAGCAACGCTTGCATCACCACGACCATAAAGAATACCTAACAGAACTGGCTTTGCTTGATTTCGTCTAGCTTTATACTCAGGAGGGTTTTTATTTCCGTCTTTGTCAAATTCGCAACATTCTTCATACGGAAGATTGAAACACGCACCTGCTACTTCGCTATACAAATCATTACCCTTAAATCTAGCATTAAACAGCTTTTCATATCCCATCTCTTTACAGAATGATGCAAGACAAGACGGCTCTTGCTGACTGTAATCTGAGGACATCAAAACACAACCATCACTTGCAGTAAACATCTTACGAATATCTTTTGCGTGACTTGGTATGTTTTGCAGATTAGGGTCTGATGAACTCATACGACCTGTATCTGCTCCATACTGATTAAAACTACAATGCACTCTCTTATCATTAGGATTAATACAATTAGGTAACTTATCAATGTATGTTCCTAATAACTTATCAGCCGCTCTATACTCAAGAATTGCATTTGTCAAGTCAGTGTTCCATTTAGTAAGTATTGCTTCACCAGTTCCTCTAGGAGATTTGCTATCAACGCTCTCATATCCTAAAATATCGTAAAACAATATTGCTAATTGAGTAGGACTTCCGATATTGATTGGATTATCAAGTTTACTACTGTTAAACGCAATAATCTTATCAGTATATTGCTCTAACAGTGTATAGAACTTGTTAAGTGCATCTTCTTTAATTTTTGTGTACTTAACGGCGAGCTTCTTTGCATAATCACAATCAAGAAGTATACCAGTATCTTCCATAGCACACATAACTTTGATGCACGGCATCTCTATGTTAAAGAATGTCCAAGCAACACCATTCATTCCGTTTCTAGCTGAAAAATCTTCATTCTTGTCGTAGTAAAGATACTGTTTTTGAAACTCGTATAATTCCCAAGTAATTACTGCATCGTGAGCACCGTACAAAGTCGCAATATCAATAGGAATCTTATCAAATGGAATATCTTTGAATATCTCGCTAAAACTGAACTCATCTTCGTTTCCGTCAAGAACATACTTTGAATGTAACGCTTTAAGACCTTTCTTTTCTTCGTTCTCATTCATAAGTCTACCAGCAAGGTATGCATCCCAAGTACAATCAAGATTTACTGATAAATTGTTACGCATAAATCTCATATCAAACTTTGCGTTGAACATAATATCTTCATCAAAGTTTTCGAGAGGCTTTAACAATTCAGTAACTACTTCTGGCTTTAACTGATTAGGCATTAACTCACCACTCAATGCTGAACGATGTCTTAACGGAATATATGCTCCTTGTGTATTAGGACTATAGAGACATACACCTACTATGTCATCTTGCATAGGGTCAAGACCTGTAGTTTCTGTGTCAAGTGCTATAACACCTTTGCAATCTTCAACATACTTACGAAGTGTTTCCTCATCTCTAATCGTTAAATACATTTCAGCGTATTTTCCGAGATGTTCTTCAACAAAACTTCTTACAAGCTGTATCTTAGATAAGAGCCCGCCACTCTTTACTGTAGCGGGCGCTCTCTTGCTAGTATTTGCTTTTTTTGCTATAGCGAAATCATCAGCTCTGGTCGAAGGCTGTCTATCGTCAAACAAAGATAACTGCGACATTAGAATCTGTCTCCACGACCTCTTGCTGTTCTTCTTGAAGTGTCATCTGTTCCTCTACTTCTTCTCTGAGGAGCTTCTGTTTCTGTTCTATCTGGAAATTCGCCGTTCTGCAAATAATATTCCATATCATCAGCAGTCTTGCTCAAAACCTTTGTTCCGAGAACCCTTGGCAACTCATCCATATCACAGTCGTCAAGAATATCATTGACTGTTGTATCGTCGGGCTGTCCTACAGGATAGAATGTGTATGTTGTACTTCTACTTCCTGCCTCTCCGTTTCGCTCAACTTCGAGTACCTGACCTACTGTATTAGGGTATCTCGCACACCATCCAGCAAGCTGTCCATAAAATGAGTTAGGTCTCTCCCAAATCTGAATTTCTCCACTATCTTCATTAAATACTGGAATAAATACTCTTGCCTGTCTAGCAATCTTTGCCTTACAGAACGGGCAATCATCAATAGCTCCATCTTTCTCGTAAAGACAATTAACAGGTCTTTCGTAATCTCCTACCTTTACTCTGTGAACAACATAGCCGTCAATATCTTCTGCACCATTATACAGAAATCTAATTTTTGCTACCTCTTTGTCTTTCTTGAGTGTAAAGTAGTTCAACTTCTTTCCACTTCCTGCACTAAACTGTTCAATGTTTGAACCTGTAATTCTTCCCATAACTGTTTCCTTTCTGCTATTTGTTTAATCTGTGTAACTTAGTTACGAAATCATTATACTAAATGATTTGAACTTTGTCAATAGAATTTTTCAGATAAATTTTGTAATTCTTCATCTGTTAGTTCACCTATATCTTTTTTGCTACTAGGTATTTCAGCTCTAACAATTAACTTATTCTTAATAGCTCTTTTTAAACGCAACGCTCCGTCATAGCCGGCATCATCATTATCTAACGCTAAAACTATTTTTCTTGTCGGAAGAGAGTTTATTTGAGATATTTGATACTCACTAAACAAGCATCCGAAACCCGCTACTGCGAACTTTCCTATGCTCCATAATCTCAAACAATCAAACAATCCCTCACACACATAAATCTCTGTAAGTCTAGTATGCTGATTAACTTCATATAAACCGTACAGTGGTTTCTCAATTCCCTTAGGTATGTCGAATCGTTTGAATGATACATTTCTTCGAGCAACAAACAAGCAATCTCCGTTAATATCTCTTACTGGAAATGTTATACAGTCTGTACTCTTATCATAGCCAATATCAAACAAGTCGATGACTTCATCTGTTAAACCTCGTTCATACATATAACGATGAGTATATCTATACTTATCTAATTCAGCTTCACTTACTTTTGGAGAACTAACATTACGCACATTAGCATTATTGAGCCTACTATTATTGAGAATAATATGTCCACGTTCTGCGACCTCACTAGTGTTAAAAGTATTTAATAACCATTTATACCCGAAAGTGTTTGTGTCTTTGTAACCGAAACAATGATTAATAACTTCGGGTAATGAATGAGTCTCACCACACGCAAGACAATGAAATAAACCGTCAGATTTTCTTATACCTGCACTCGGTCTGCGTTCTTGCCCATTCTTGTGATAGGGACAACATACCATTAAATCACTTTCGCTCTCAAACATCTTATTAAACAATGAAATGTTTTGTTCTGCTAATTGTAGCTTTAATTTGCTGATTATATCTTGCACATCAGCATTTATCATCAAACCGTCTATCTGCATTTAAACTCTCCGTATAGTCTATTAGAACACATCAGTTCCACTAGCTCTTTTACGCTCTCGGCGTTCAGCTTGTTGTTCTTTAGGCAAAGACTCTGCTCCCTCTGTATAAATAAATTCGCCTATATTTATATTCCAAAGATACTTAAAGCTAACACCCATCTTTCCGTTTCTCTGCTTAACAATTCGCATTTCTAAAGTATCATCTTTTTGGCGTAGAGATATTACTTTAGTTGCATTGTGTGAAATGCCGTCACTATCTCTGATACTTTCAAGCTCAGGAGTGCCGTCACTATCTGCTTCAACAACACCACTTCTATTTGCTTGCACTACTACTAATATAGGAATATGAAGTTCAACTGATAACGACATCAAGTCCTCACTAATATTCGTCAATGAGGTTGTCTTATTATCATTTCTTCTTCCACGCTCATCTGAAATATAAGTTATTCCGTCTATAGCAAGTGCATCTAACTTATTCTGCTTAATAAAGTTTTTCAACTTTCCTACAGTCATATTGTTACCGAAATCAGCTGGAGTAGAAACAACAAACTTATTACCGAGCTGTTTCAGTTCTGCTATGTATTGTTCATATGCAACAGTGTCAATATCGTCTTTTCCCCACATAAGACTACTATTTGAGAAGCCTTTATAAATAGTGTCAAATCTGTAACCTACACTATCAGCTCCCATTTCAGGTGATACATAACCTACATTAAATCCTTGTCTCCAAATATTTGTTATCATCTTTTCAAGAACCCAAGATTTACCTTGATTTGTTCTCGCAAACAATACAACGAACTCCTCACTTCTCTGTATTCCGTGCATAACAACATCAAGCTCAGGAAACCCACTTGCAAAGTACCAATCACCTTGATTATTAATTCGCTCCTTATAGTTTGCTAATCGTTGTTCAGCATTAGCTATAAGGTCGACTCCGCCTATGTTATAATTAGGAGTTAAGTCTTTGATTGCTTGCGTCATATACTCACTAGCCGCATTAGCATCACCTGCGTTTGCAATATCAGCAACCTTTTGAACAACAGGAGCAAGTTTCTTAAATAGATGTTCCTCTCGTATAGTGTCAAGTAAATATTTGTCGCTTTCAACAACATCAATTATTTCAAAATCTTTGAACTTGTTAAGAAAAGTTACCTTATCAGGAACATTACCGTATTTGTCGTGATGTTCTTTGATGAATTTAAACTCATCTTCGTAAGCTGTTCCTTCAAAGTATTCATTAGTTAAATTGTTATCTTCAATTAACGAATAATCTCCTGTAGTTAAAAGCTTTGAGATTATCTGTAATTCAACAACCACGTCTATCACCGCCTCTTAGTTCTATTACTAGACTATTATTCCAAACTCTACTAGCAACTCTGTCACCAACTATATCAACTAACTTGTCATAACTGTTTACATTAGATGTAAAAATGGTTGACTTATTAGCTAACATTCTACTATCAAGTAAGGAGAATAGTTGCAAATAATCATATTGTGATACTCCTGTAACTGCAATATCATCTAAAATCAGCAAGTCAGTATTTCTTAAATTATCTTTATACTGCTTTGACAAAGGATTATCAAAATCTTTTAGCTTGAGCAACAAGTCAGATGTGCTAACAAACATACCCTTAACAGTGAACAAGTTACCCTCTGCAACATAATGAAAATATGTCTGCAACATCTTTATTGCCCAACTTGTCTTGCCATTACCAAAATATTTACTGCATAGATAAAGATTATTTCCTTGCTCTACAAAAGTATCTATGTTTTCTCTAATATCAGCGAGTTTTCTAAATGCTCCTAAATCTGCATTTTCGGGAGTTAATTTTATTGGCTTATACTTTGACTTAGGAAGACCACTATTATCAAACTGCCATTTCATTTGAGGGTACACAGTACAAGTGCTACAATCTTCACAGCAATTATCAATATACCAGCAATCAAAATTCTTCGAGTTCTCCACTTTCAACTAATCTCCTTAACTCGTCTTTTTCTTCTTGAGATAATCTCTTTGCTTTCTCTCCTTCTCTTAAAGAAGTTGCTTCAACTGACCTTGCACTTCTACTATTTGTCTGATTATCGTACTTTCCCTCTAAAACTGAAACGAACTTATCTTCTCTTAAAATGAAATCAATATCAGCTCTCCATCCTGTTCTCTTTCTATTAGTACAGAAATCAGATTCCTCTAATTTTTCAAATACAGTTAAAATATCATCATAAGGGTATGTTTTAAGAAGTTTGACGATTGCTTTACTTCTCTTAGGTGATAGTCTTTGACACTTAGGAAGAGATACACAAATAGAATTGTAGTCATCAATGAAGCGGGCAACTTTTTCTTTATATGTATCTTCTTTATTTATTACTTCTTTATTATTTATATTATTATCTTGTATAAGATTATATTGATTACTAGTATTAGATATATTATCTATAGTATTAGTACAACTCAGTTGTATAGTATGCAACTCAGTTGTATAGTATGCAACTAAAATAGACCCGTTTACAGTTTTAGTTTCTTTTTTAATTAATCCTCTATCTAAAAGATTTTTAAGATTTTTCTGTATACCTTGTTTAGTTGCACTGCACCAATCAGCTAAGTATTGTAAACTGCCTGAAAACATACTGTTTCCATCTTGACTAAATCCGTATATTATCGCATAAACAAGCAAATCGTTACCTTTAAGTTGAAGCTCATCAATCATCCAACTTTCAATTACAACGTGCGTATTGGCTTTCATTCATTTTCTCCTCACTAAATAAAAAAGAACGATTAAAGTGAGTTGTACGAGAACTCGACTCTAATCGTCCTATTTGTCGGCTATTTAATTTCAGCGGTTAATTGCTCGTACCAAATAACCGACATATCATTCAATTACGTCTTGTAATTTAGATGATGATTATTATATCACATCAAGTTTGAAATTGCAATTACTTTTTTCGCTTACTTTCAAGAACTGCTCTAATTGTATCTTGCAACTGAATGTCAACGGAGTAATTAACGTCATCCCAAAGAAGTCTGCGTTCCTCTTCAAGATTTACACCCTCAACATCTGGGATTGTTCGTTCTTCTGAAAACTCAAGAGTATAGAAATCGTCACCGATTTTAGCACTTGCTCTTGAAGTAGCTCTAATTTGCGTTGTAATTGCTTTGCTTGTGTAATTAGTATCGTTATTCATTTTCATCACTCCTCGAAGAATTAGACGTGTTTCTACGCTTTCTAGCACTATCTATGTGTAAAACAAATGCTACAACTAGAATAAATGCAAGTATTTCAACCAATATAGTTGCTAAAATGCCTAGTAAAAACGGCGGAATAATAATAGTCATCAGTTCTTTCCTTTCTTTGTTTTCTTAATTTCAAGTTTTGGAATTTCTTTAACACATCTGCAACTATCTAAAGCGAGCATAGCGTCACTTGAGAAGTTGCCACTATAGATTTCTTTCTCCATAATATCTGTGTCGATGTATTCTTTCTTCTTAATGCAGTCTGTATAAGGTGCGTACTCTTTTAATTTAAGAATGAGCATATCTTCATCGAGGCTCTCTTTAACAGTAACGCTATAAACGACTTTTCTTCCGTCTGCAAGTTCAACTTCATCCATATTTAAAGACTTCATAAGTGCCTTAATTTCAGAGTTTGTTGCGTCAACTACCTTTTTAAGTTTGTCAAATTCTGACTTTGCTGTAACATATTCATTAGCTAACTGTTCTAATCTCTCTCCGTCTGTCATATCATTACCCTTTCTTAACATATCGTTGTGTAACGCTTCCCATTACACCCTTACAACCCTTAGGCATCTTATCTTTAAAAGCTAACAATGTCTGAACATCAGCTTTATCCCAGAATCGTTGTCCTCTAGTTCCCATACATTCATAATCGGGAAGAAGCTTTGCATACTCGTTAGACGGATTCTCACGCTTAAATCTATACCAGTTATTTATAGACTGAACTGAGACTCCGCAAAGTACAGCAACCTCTTCAATCTTCAAAAGTGTCCTCATTCTGTATCTCCTTTCTTATAAATTATTAAACATTATAATACATATTTTTTAAGATAGCAAGTAATTAATAAGAGCATTTTTGTCTCCTTCAACTGCGTTATCTACTAAAATATCTGATATTGCTCCCTTCTTCTCTACGAGCGTATGTATTCTCTCATCAATAGTGTCTTTACAGAGCAACGTATATATTGTGATATTTGATTTCGCTCCAATTCTATGACATCTATCTATTGCTTGTTCTTTAAGTGCCATATTCCAAGGCTCATCTAAGAAGATTTCAACTGAACCGGCTGTGAGTGTGAGACCTGTACCCATAGCTCCTGTTGTTCCTATTATGAACTTGACTTTGTTATCATTCTGAAAAGCATCAACATATTCCTGTCTAACATTATCTTTTGTCTCACCAGTTATCATTACACCCTTGTACTTCTTTGATAATCTCTTAAACGCAGGGTTTGTCATCTGTGTCCAGTTAGAGAAGATTACGACTTTTCTGTTGTTTTCGATTGCATCATCTACGATTTCTTCCATTCTATCGAACTTCGCATTATCAATAACATCGTCAGAGATAATAGAAGGATTTCCTGTTGCTTGTCTTAATCTGATAAGTTCTGCTAACGGGTTATTTGTCATTTTCAACTTATCAATATTAGACTTAATATCTGCGTGTGCCATAGAGTAGACTTTTGACTGCTCATCGCCCATTTCAACATACTCGTCAATCAATGTCTTTTCAGGCAAATCTAATACATCGTCTTTAAGTCTACGCAACATCATCGTGTCCAGTGTATCAGAGATTTCTTCAAGATTTTTATATCCTGTTACTTCTGTTCCGCTGAAACCTCCAAGAGTACAATAGTGATTTTTGAATTGCCAAAAACTATGCTTCTCATATCCAAGCCAAGTTAATGGCACATATAAATCGAGCGGAGCGTTCATAAGCGGAGTACCTGTCATAACGATTTGAACATTTGATTTAAGAGATAACATCTGCTTAGCCTGCTGTGAGTCTGGGTTCTTACACTTATGACCCTCATCAATAGCTATCATATCAATTTCACCCTTTGCACAAAGTTCATTTATCTTATCTGTTATAGGATAAATGTACTCATCAACTTCTTTTACTCTTCCTTTTTCACGCTTAACTACTTTCTTGCCTGTCTTAACTTTATATCTTAATGTTTCAATATTTGTAATGATAAATCTAGGAAGATTATCAATGTCATTCAAGTCAGCTAATCTCTCAGGATTTGTTGCAATAACAAGATTATCTTTCTTGTTTCTCTGTCCCAATATCCAAGCACCGTCATTTGAATGAGTATAAACTTCGTTACGCCAATTCCACTTCAATCCGTTTACGCAACAAATAATTAAACAGTGCTTGACATTACGAATATTTGCAATATCAATTACTTGCTTTGTCTTGCCTAAGCCTTGCTCATCTCCCAATAACCACTTGTCGTGATTAAGACCGTATTCAATGCCCTCAATCTGATGTTCATATGGAGTAGTTTTAAACTTAAAATCAGCAGGTACAGTTAGCTTTTTCTTATCGTCTAACTTCACATATTTACCTGTTATTGTAATGTCATAATCAGAAAGCGAACAAGCTATCTTTCCTAACTGATTTAATGGCATTTCCCAAGACTTATCTTTAGCGTTGTAAACTCTTGTAGGAAACTGCTTTATAATTTCTATTACATTACTATTGTATTCAAATGTTACGAAACAAGAATACTCTCCGTTACAGTTTACGCTCTCTCTAATATCAATGTTTATCATTGTTTTCTCTCACTTTCTGTGCGTTTTGCATCTCAAATCAAGAACATTATACTACACGATTGAACAGTTGTCAACATCAAATTATTCACAATAAAATAGGGTAGCAAGCGACGAACTTGCTACCCCGAATACGGAAAGTTAGAACAGTACGACCAAGTATGTTCTCATACAGAAGTCCTTTCAGAAAAAGGTACTACTATAGTATAACATTATCGACAGAGCTGTTCAATAGTTTTACGATATGTCTCACGTTCTTCATCCGTTCTAGCATTACGCATCATTTCTTTGAGATGTTCTGCCATTTCTTCTTTACTATGTCTGCTATACCCATCGTATGAGCTATCTCTGTAAGAGTCATCACGGCTGGTATAACGACCCATAGCGTCACGACCTCTACGATAAGAATTATCTTCACTGTATCTGCCATCTCCGTCACCGTCTCTTCCTCTACGAGCATACGAGCCATACGCATTAGCGTAATCTTCTGAGTAATCTCTGGAATAGTCTCTTGAATATCCTTCTTGTTCTGCTTTTTTCATAGCTTCAATGGTTGTCGTGTCTTTGACAATATCAACCATTTTATAGATGCTGTCCAAGTCAGTAGTTGTTATATCTTCTTTCTTAACAATCTTCTTGAGTTCATCTTCAAGCAGGTCTTGAATATCATATAAAACTCTCATCTTATATACTCCTTTCTTATGCCACTCTTGTAATAACAAGATTTGCGTTTTGAACTTCAATCACAGGTGCAGACGGTGTTGTAGTGCCACTAGTAGAAGCGTCAATACTTCTTACTGCAATAGTCACACAACAACCCTTAGGAACAGTGATTAACGCAGTGCTTGTAATATTTCCGTAACTTTCTGCCGCAACTGGAGTGAATATTGCTCTGCTTGTCAATCTCGGTTCTCCCTCAACGCTGATAGCGAGAGCAATCGGTGTTACTGCTCCACCCGCCGGAATTGCAATATTTCCGTTAAACGTAACTTGATAACGAGCATAGTTACAAGATGTGTTATTAACAATGCCTCGCAGAATAAAAATTCCTGATTCATCTTCGTGATAGATATAACCTCTTGTGCAAGGGATAGACGCTGAGAAAATTACTGGAGAATTAAGTGCTACGTCTTGAACTGCATTAGCCAAATATTCTGCCATAATATCACCGCCTTACAAACCACAACCGCAACCAGTATTCTGACCACAAGTAAAGATAGGTGTTCTACCATAAACAGGTGTAGTAGGAACAGGGCAGTTAGAGAGTCTATTGTAAAGTTGGTCAACCTCGTCAGTGAAACCCTTTTGAATAAATGCGTTCTGTGCTGTCTGTGAAGCCGCAAGATTTGCCATTGTAAGCTGACGCTCAAGGTCTTGAATACGCTCATTCTTTGCGTCAATCTTATCACTGCACATCTGGTCAAGGATTCTCTGAATACCTGCTGTCTGATTAGCAAGAATATCACGAACACCGTCTGTTACTGCCGCTCTGTCTGCACAAGCCTCACGGGCGATGTCAGAACCAAGATTTGCTACTGCAAGTCTGTTTTCACAGCAACAAGAAGCAAGTTGAGACTGTAAAGAATTAAAGTTCTGATTTGTAGCTGTTAAGTCTGAAAATCTCTGATTCATAGACGCAATCTGATTGGTGTACGCTGTCTGCATAGCATCCATAGCTCTATTACATTCAGCAGATTCAGCAGTTGCGAAACCATTTGAGATTGAGGACTGTATGCCACTAAGTTGTCCTGCAATACCTGCATTATCGAATCCTCTATTAACGTCATTCTGCGTCTGTGTGTTCCACATATAAGGCAGTACACCGCCATCATAGCCGAAACCACCGCCGAAGCCGTTACCCCAACCATTTCCTGCGAGCAAGAGCAGAAGAATAATCCACGCCCAATCTCCTCCAAAATTGTTACCAAAACCGCAATTACCATATCCACCATACACAGGTGATACAGGCATTACCATTCCATTTGTACCATTTTCTGTCATTTTCGACATCCTCCTAAAAAATAATTTATTTCCACTGTTGCAACTAATAGAAAACGTGTTAAAATAAATATGATTTTGCTTATGCGTAATTCACCTCACAGAATGTGTCCTATGTGTTTGGAGAGGCCGTAGGACACATTTTTTATTTGAATAACTGCTGTATCTGCGGGTTATTCTTCATCTGCATAAGTCTATTCACTTGGTCTTGTGATACTTGATGAGTATTTAGCAAATGTTGTAATATATCATTTGGGTCATTAATATTTTGAGGTATCTGATACTTGCGACATAGCACATCTCTAGGGTTTTGTTTGAGTTGTGCGAGCATAGACGCAAGATTATTTTGTGGCATAAACTGCTGATATAATGGGCTAGACATAATTACTCCTTCTTATTCTGAACGGGTCTTTGCACTGATTTCTGATTGTTAGAGTTGAACTCTTTTAATTCATCTCGTATTTCGCTCTTAAATGCGTCAAATTCGCTTCGCAAGATGTATTCAGCATTATTTGTCGTACTTGCTTGTGCGTGTGTTACAGCGTCATTCTGACGCTCTTTATAATCGAATATTCTCAACGGCAACGGCATACCACTTTGGTCAGTTGATTTGATATACATTGTTGAACGTTCACTATCCATTAACAAAACAGATTGACCTGCACTTTACTGGATAAGACTTAGCCGCATTTTCACCTTGAACCCAAATGATAGAATTGTTTTGTTGTTGCATTTGAGGTTGTGCAGTTGCAAAGTTTGGCTGTGGGTAATACTGTGGAAAATAATTGTTATACGCCATTTTAAAATCTCCTCTCACTTTTTAAAATAAAATATAGGAATTTCTTTACCGCTATCCCAAGTATCGTAATAATCTCCGTCAATACAAGTAACAACGTGAGTGCCTGTAGCAAGAAGATATAAGCCGTATGAGTTATCTCTACAAAAATCTTCGATTGTATACCAATCAGGACAGTCATCAGAGATTATGTATCTCTTAAAGCCGTTGTGCTTTAGATAATTACTCCATATCGCATTCGATGATGGCATATCTTTTAATTCATATCCGTGCGTTGTTATACCTAAATAAGTAGTGTCCCAATCTTGTCCTAATGCTAATGATACAGCTCTAATTACACAATCTCCTACTAGATTGCCCTTTGGGTTAGGATTAAAGTATTTCCAACTCATAGACTTATACCTTTTTGCCGTTTATTAAAATAAAGAGAGCAACCGTCGCAGAGCAGTTATATTGCTTCATTATCTCTAACAATATTGAACTAATATCTGACATACAGTTTCTCTCCTTGTTTTTATAGCTTTATCATACAAAGAAAAGAGCAAACCGTATTTCTACGATTGCTCTACAGTTTTTATTATAAAAATTGTACGAAAATTGTACGCTAAAGCACCTTAAGAATTTTGGTTTTAACCGACTTCGCTAACTTAGATACTTTTTCCCTCTGATACATTCATCTTGATAGCAATTTGTAAGTTACTATAATGTTTTGCTCGCAGATTGAAGTATTCGGTTTCATCAGCCGAAAAATTACAATTATCCCTTAGATATTGTAACTCACTCTCTACGAAGTCGTACAGTTTCATAGTGCTTTAAGATATGACATCGAACACCATAAGTTAGGCGTGACTTTTCCCCAGCCGTCTTGTATTTCAGATACGGTTACCGATTGCTCCTTTAAATAGTCGCCCTTTTTCAGGAGCAGATACAGACGGAGCTGTTCGCATCGAAAGAAAACTATTTACCTCAACTGAGTAGTTTTTAGCAGTCGGAGCAGGAGTTGGGTTAGAGTATTTAATAAGATGACACTTACCCCAATAACCCCATTCCAAATACTTTACTCTTGATAGTTCCGTAATTATGTCCTTTTGCCTCAACTACTGTACCATTATTATCAACAACAACTCCAACGTGTGTCTTACTTGAGTCTGTTCCCTTAAATACAAGTAAACCAATTTTGTCTGACGGAATAGTTGAAATCTTGCCTTTACTAGTACACTTTGAGTAGAAAGTATTTGCTCCAAAATCTTCACTTGACTTATATGTAGGTGATTTGTCAGTCATATTATTAGACCAAAGAAACCACTTAATAAGTCCCGCACAATCAGTTACACGTTTTCCAAAGTCATCAGAATATGTATTATATGGAAAATTGTAGTAACTAGGATATTGGGCTTTCTTTTCATTATATAATGACGAACTGCCTTTTTGTCCGAAACAGCCCAACCAATACGGAGCACCCACAACCTGCAAGCAGAATGTTGCGAGATTTGTGTTAGTTCTTTCTATGGACATCACTCGTCTCCTTTGTTCATACCATCAGCAAGACCTTCTCCGATTACATAGCCGATTACAGTTGCTCCCGCCATAATGAGGGCTGTTACTTGCTCTGCTGTACCCTTGTCAACGTTGAAGAAAATCAGAAGCATTGAGGACAAATGTTGCCACAGCAAGCCAAAACTTTCTTGATGTAAGCTTTCTCTTCCAATCAATCTTTTCCATGTTCACTTCTCCTTTCTGTCTTGTATAATTCTTTTTTCGTGTATAAGTTTGTTAGCAACAACTGTATAACCATTAGCAAACGATTTATGCTCTGCACAATAACTCTCGTAATAATCGCAATCTGCTAACTGTTGTCTGAAATATTCTTCACTATGGTCTATGCCGTTTCTAATCTCATCTGCGAATCGCAAAATGTGAGTTCTGCACAACTTAGCCTGATTCTCCTCGTTTTGTGCTTTCAAATCGTTTATCGCTTGTTGAAGTTCTTTTATCGTGTCAAGCACATTGTTTTCACTTGCTTTTTTAGTATCCATTCTCTGTATTAGAAAGATAATGAAAGTGAAGAATGTTCCACTACCTATTATTGTTATGACTATATCTCTCATTTGTTTCTGCCTTTTCTTCTTATTATAACATTTTAAGTTAGTTTTAAGTTAGTTTCGGAATACCTGAAAACTTAATACCATCAATATTATAATTCCAACAACCTATTGAATATACTCTTCCCTTTGTTATTGAATTATTATTCGATGAGTTCCAAAAAATTCCCACTTGACTCATCTGTCCGCCACTCATTCTTATAAACTCCATACATTCCACTTTTCCGTCAATAATAAGTGCAACATAGGCATCAGTAGCGAGCATAAATATTTCGTGTACTGTGCCGTCAAGAGCATATACACTACTTTTTGTTATGTTCTGTGTACTCCATCCAAGACCGAAATAACCATCGTTTGTTACTATGCAAGCATAGTCACCTTGTGTTCCTGAAAGTTCTTGTCCCATTATGCAGGATGCCATCCACCATCTACTGTCACTACTCGGAACAAAATCACTATTTACAGAGCATTTGATACCCCATAACATATAACTTGAATTTGCCCTTTGGACTGCTAACTTACTTCCGTTGCATACGAGACACTTTCCGTCAGTCTGATATGTTCCCCCGAAAAGTCTTAAAGGCGTTCCATCAGTAGCAACCCATCCGTCAGGTGAGATGTCATCATTTTTGAATATCACTTCTGGCGTTGGATTGAGCGGTATTCCTGCGTCTCCGCTCGCTCCGCCGTCAAAGATTATTCTATCTCCTATAGCAATCTTTGCTTTACCTAACTCGATTGACATTCATTACTCCTCACTTTCGGGAGTTTCAACTTCTACAACACTGATTGGTCTTACAAATCTTTCACGCTTTAAAACATTTCCGTTCTCGTCAATAACGAGCAACAATTCAGATGTGTAAAGTTCTGACTTCATAGCCACTCCCATCTTAGAGTGGAATGTAGCAACTGCCGCTGTCTCGGTAGCATATTCATAAATACCCTTGCCTGCGATTTTTGAATCTCCTGTTGCAATCTCAATTACATAAAACATATTGTTTACCTCCATTAAATAATAATATAAATTGTCTTTTCGCCTTTAACTTCAAGTAAATCATACTCTTCCTGAGTGATTACTACTATACCAAGTCTTTCTTGTGCCTTAGCCTTTTCTGCCTCTGTCCAATCTGCACCTCTGCCGTCGCACATAGCCTGTTTTACGGCGTAGTCAAGGTTAGTTGAAACAACGGGAGTGCAATCATTTCTTCGATTGTCAATGTGCTCATTTGACGCTTTAACAATCGACAACTGTCCATTATTGGTGTTGACCGACACTCCGTTTCCATAATACACCTTCAGTACGCCAGCGTTTTGTGTTGTTGCATAAGGAATATTAGCCACCTTATCAACTACGATAGATGTACCGTTAATCTGTACGTCGTCAACAGAACCGCCACTCGGCTTATTTTCGAGTGCCTCAATTCGCTCTTCGTGGTCCTCAACATCTGATTTAACAGCATCGAGTTCTATGTCCTGAAGTGCATTTTGCTCGTCAACATATTCTTTATCAACATCAATCGTAGGAATTTCTGACTTATCGGCTTTTGTGTCTAATTGAACGCTAACACTCTCGGCTAATTCATCTAAATCAGCAGAGGTTGTGAAATCACTATCATTTTCTAATTCGCTTAACTTCTTTGGAATATCCTCTTCTTTAGCGAGTGTGCGAGTCTTGTTAGTTACAGTTAAATCAACACCGCCATAGGGATTGTCATCCATTGTAACTTTTGTACCAATTCCTGTCACACTCAATGTCCCCTCTATTTCTTCGATAGGATTAATTACACCTTCGATTTCTTCAAAAGGAGAAACACTACCTTCAATTTCTTTCACGCTAATTCTCCTTTCTTAGTCACTTCTGGGTACACTATCATATTAGTAGTAACTTTATCTGTAAGTCCTACTACGGTGAATACATTATCGTCAGCCGTAGTAAGTTCAATGTCATAACAACAATTTCCCACAACGAGATTTTTTGTATCATCAGGTGTGAAAGTGAGTACATTTGTATCTGATGTTATTGACATTAATGGAGATGTCTTAGGATTTTTTCTGACTGTTAATGTCAGAGTATCGCCTTCCTGCATTTCATACGGCTCACCACTTTTAGTTTTTAATGAAACACCCAATGCGGCAGAATCGCCTTTTGTGATTTTAATAACTCCGTTCTTTACTTCAAACATATTAAATATTCTCCCACGTTATAATATCCAAGTAAAACTTTCTTCAATGCGTACTCCACTACCAACTGATGTGTTTGAGTTTCTAATTCGCACAAAATTGTTTTCAGGCGAAAGCATAGCACCGATAAGTCGTTGAGAATCGTATTCCGTAGAATACACATTATAAGAAGGCATATAATTTGCTAATACAGAACCTATATTCATATCTAAGTTCGCTCCTGCCGCAATAGACGCTGTTGTTGTTACGGCAACATACAACTGACACACCATTCCCCACTTCTTAAATACGGCCTTAGTTACATTAAACGAACCGCTTTTCTTCGTTACGCACTCCGACAGAACATCTGTGGATATGTAAGTCATATCAACATCATTAAGCTTTCCTGTAAATTTAATGTCACCGCCGACATATAACTGTCTCTCTTTATCAGGAAAGCCGTATACTGAACAACTATGCAATAGAGTGTCTATGAAAAAGATAGGCATACCTATATCAATAGACATTATATAGGTGCTTAAAGTTTCATTGTTTTCGTCAATATCGCCTGTTGTGAACGAGTCTCCTATAAATACACGGATTACCCAAGCAAATTTATTGTCTAATACATCTGTTCCTGTCTCAGGAAATACCTTTGTGTGAGTAGGAGAACTTACAATCTCAGAGGTAATTTCAGCGAGATTACTCCAAGTAGAATCTTCAACTTTTCTGTGTTGCTCCCAAATTCTAGGTGCGTTCTTATCGTTTACTGACGCTATCTTATAATCTGCAACCAAGTCAGTTTCAGTATAAAAGTTGTCCTTTCTTGTGAAAGAACATACACCGTAAGGCACACTCCAATCTACAACGACAATATCTGTACTTGTTGTATTCTTATATCCTCTGCTATCTGTAACGGTTACTACCGCAGTATATGTTCCGACAACATTCGGTTTTACGAAAATCTTTTTGCCCGAACTATCCATACTATATGTGTTGTTATTCAGCGTGAGTTGATATGCAGATGTGTCAAACGCACCGACTGTTGCACCCTTATTTCCGGTAGCCGCACTTATTGAAATCTCAAGCGTAGATTGTTTGCGTACAATAATCGTATTATCTTGAGTAATGCTTATTACTGTCGGGTCTATGTCTTTAAAAGTTAATGGTGTTGCACTACTCCAAGTAGGCTTTGCTGTTGCTTCATTAACAATGAGCGTAGCCGACTTAATATCTGTCTGTACGACTTCATCAAGCACTGATTGTAACTCATATTGAAAAGTAAGTGTTGTCGAAGAAGAACTAGCACTCAACATATTAGCACGGTCTGTCAGTGTGAACGTACTATCCGTAAACTGATAAGTTCCCTTATTATCAGTTTCAGTAAGGTCATTCGGCAACGGCACCCAGTTTGTTGACTGTGCAGTATCTCCGTTCATCCAACTAATACGCAGTTTAATATCTGTGACTCTATCAGGTCCAAGATTATTACTGTATGTGATTGTCGGCAAAGAACTAAATGTATCATCTAAATTCTCTACGGACTCTAATAAAGCGTATCTATCAATCTTATCAAGTAGTACTCTGCGTTGATACCACTGCTTTACAGAAGAAGAATACAGTGCCGCACTAACAGACATAGCAACTGTCTTGTTTCCGTCTGTATCGTGTGTTACTACGATTGAGCCGGTCTTTTTATATGCACCGCCACCAGATACTCTAACTCTTGAAGTTTCAGAGAATACAGTTACTCCGTTAATAACAACTTTAATAGGTCCGCCATAAACACTATAACCAGTAGTCATAGTGCCGTTAGACTTTAATGTCCACTTAATTGTAGTTGAGTTCGTTGCAGTATCTTGTGTACCTGTCCAAGACAGGTTAAGTCCTATCGAACCGTAATTCTGTGTGGTATATTTACTTGTATTAAAGTTGCCACTTAATGCCATTTATTTCTCCTTAACTTACAGAAGAAGTTGCTACAAATGCAAGTCCCTTATTTATTATACTATTATTTTCAGTTATTGTGATAGGTAACATTCTAATCTCGTTTCCTACACTCAGTTCTTTTTCTGCAACGCCTTTTTTCATATTAAATTCGTCAGCAGAAGCCCAATAAATTTTATTGTTGTTAGCGTCATACCCAACAAAGCCTTCTGCAACACTTATTGAAATGTAACCACTGTTTGTTGTCGCAATCTTGAGACCTTGACTATTAAAACGACCTATCTCGTTTCCGTCTCCGTCTAAGATTGCAATATCTCCGTTATGCTCTCCGCCGAGCGTAAGAGTTCCGCCCTTTATCATATCAGCAACAAAGTTTGAAACAGTAATATTCTCGGCGTTCAAAGTACCTGTAGCGATTACTGACGCAGAGAAACGACCCTGGTCATCTATCGCAGTTATAGGCTGATTATCGTAATAACCATTCTGCAAGAAAACAAGACCTGCTTTATTCCAACGCCAAATCTTTTGAGCAACATCACTCGCACTTCCGCCATTATCAATAGCGTCTTGTTCAGTTACAAACGGCTTATCCATAATGAGCAGTTCATTTGGTGACCCACTATTATCAGTGTCACGCAACACTAAATAGCCACCAGAGTTACCTGTAATACGAGCCAAAGAACTTGTTAATTGTTCTTCAAGAGCAGACTGACTTACTGCAACAGGTGTCCAGTCGCCAAATAGTACTCTGCGTTGATACCACTGCT